GTGCACTGTGGGTTTCTTGCTGGGTTGGGGGCGCTGAGGTGTGGAGTCGGAGCTGTGCGTGGCAGGTGCCCTGCCCTGGGTTGGCACTTCCTCTTCTGCTGGTTCCACCTCATCCTCCTTTACAGCTTTGGTCCTACTTTGTTTTAATGGCTTCTTCACAACTGGGGGAGGAGGAGGGGACAACTCTGCCAGGAAGAGTAAAGACAATTGAACACTGTGCCCGCTCCAGGAACCACAGGAGCCGCAGCTCACCACACCCACCTGCTCTCGATTCTTCCTCGTCATCCTCTGTCTCCTCCTGGGGGATCTGAACCTTGGCTGGAGGCTTCACTGTCTTCACCTTAATCGGCTCTTGCCCTGTAAATACCACAGATGGCCTCTGCCGCCTGTGTTTGTCCAGCCTGCTTACCCAGGCTCCTGGACAGGCTACAGTGGCAGGCCAGTGGGGTGCAGCCTCCCTTCCCCAAGCTACAGACAATGGTTAAATTGCCCCATTGCTGCCACCTGCACATCCTCACCCATTTTCTGGAAATAGTCCCGTTTCTGTTGGAAGCTCTTGGGGCGCTGAGGCTTGCCTTCAGGCTCCTCTGGAGGGTCCTCCTGGCAGAAGGAAGCAATGAAAAGCAGCCACCCTCAGCCAGCCATAGCCCCGTCCTCACAACATCCTTTTCTGATGGCTTCTCAGACCCTTCCTGGCTACCTTCCCGGTCTCTCATCTTGGTAGGTCTGGAGTCTACCGGCCACCCACCACACACCAGACCAGGCCAGAGCCCTGCCTAGTCTTGGCTCCTTACTCTAAAGCAAACATCCAAAGGTTCTAGGTCACTCTCTGGCATCTTTTGAGGAGCAGAAGGCTTCTTGGGTTTGGGAGCAGTGGCTGAGGGTGGAGACTGGGAGGCAGCCCCAGAAGCCTGAGCTTGGTGCTGGCGTCTCTGGTTCTGCTGCTCCAGGGACAGGCTCATGGCTTGTGCTGTCATCTGCTGGGCCTTAGGAAAAGGAGTGGCAAGCCCAGTAAGAGCCTAGGCTGGCCCCGCCCCCATGCCTACACTCCCCAGGTAGCCCCACCTCCCAGCCACAGTTCTCACCAGAATCATCGCCTGCTGGTTGATGAAGCTTTGCTGCTGTAGTGCCAGCTGCCTGGACTCCAAACTGGGCAACAGAGGCTGTGGCTGGGGTGGCACCATCATGGCTGTGAAGAACAGCAGATGTCCAGAGCAGGTGAGTGCCATGGCCAGATCTGACTCTCTCGATCCCAGGTGCCATCTGGGCTCCCATCAGGACACCCCCCCCACTCCCACTCCCACCACCACCATGTGCCACCTTTGGTACTGACAGTTTCTCTCTTGGTACCCTTAACTTAGCCTCACCTGGCATGGTTGGGACTGTGCCCATTGCTGGCATCATGGGCATAGGTGTGGGCATCATGGCTGGCTGGTAGCTGGGCGTCTGCACCATACCTGGGTACACTAAGGGAATAGGGTCTCAGGTCTCTTTGGCGCCACATACCTCCTTCTCCCTCTATGCCCAAGCAAAAAGAAAAGCACTGGCTGCCAGGGTACTGGCCAAGGCTCCAATCTCAGCAGCCTCCAGAGAGTCACAGCACCCTGGCCTGTGCTGTTGGGCCTGGGGCACACTAGAAAGACGCCATCTCCACTCACCCATGGGGTAGCCCTGCTGGGCGGGCCCAATAGAGCCCCCTCCCTTCATGCGGCTGCTCAGGGCCCAGCCTTGTTCCAGGTCCTGAAGGGACAAGTGTTCAGTGTCAGAGCTACAGCCTGGGAGGAACAGGAGGAGTTCCTCAGGCCCAGCCCCAGCACCAGGGTAAAGGGGATGTGAGTAAGCCACTCACACTGAAGCTTGGGGAGAGGACTGGCTCAAAGAGATGGTCCAAGAAGCCATCTAGGTTTCCCGGCTTCCTGGCCTCACCTGTTGGGCAAGAGGAAGTTGCTGCATCTACTGGGGTGAGAGGCCACCGCTGAGCCCATTCCCAGTACCCTGCCACCCTCAGGGTGCCTTACCTGGAGGGCATCTGCTGGGCAGCGTTGGGGCTGGACCTGGAGGGAGACCTGGAGGCAGGGAAGGAGCCTGGACACCAGGGGCTGGAGGGATGTTCTCAGCTCTGCGGGGAAACAGTGGGCCTAGTTAAGGGGACTGTTGTGGGAATCCCCTCTACGAGGAGCCCAGACTCAGCTGAGAGGACTCAGCCTTCAACATCTACACACCACGCGAAGGCAGGGTGGCTGTGGGGGCTACCAGCTGGGGAAAGAGCCAGAAGGGTGGTACATACAAACCAAAAGGAGTGATGGGGTAGCGGTGGGGACCAGCTGGGTCTCCCAGGTCCTCAGTCTGGCCTATCAGGTCCAGCACAAAGTCACAGCCAGCCAAGTCCTGCCAAGCATCCCCAGAATGCAGTGACACAGACCAGCCACGAGGGGGCGCCTCCAGGCCTCTGGGTGGGACAAGAGTGAGACGTGGAGGTGGTCAGGGAGAGGGACAGACAGATGGGTACCCGCCAGGAAGGGGAGCAGTCTGCGGGAGGCGGCCCTTCCTGATGATGTCCCCACCCCAGGTGTGAGCCAGGAGCTCAGCCTCACTCAGCCTCAGGCTGTATCCCTGTTTGTACCTCAGCGTCCTTTGTTTATCTCCAGGCTCTGGTACTAAGGAGTTAGGATCTGGGCCTTAGGCTGTCACACGCCCCTCATTTAGAATATCTGTTTTCTCTGGATCTACAGTTGGAGAGTTGGAGCCCGTCCATCTAGCCTAAAACCTTCCCTTTCTATTCACTGAGGAACAGTGCATCCCTGGGCCCTGGGGTTCATACAGTGGGAGAATAGGCTGGGGCTAGGGGGATGAGAGCGGGGACAGCAGTCAGTGGCCAGTGCTGCTCCACCCTGAGCTCCCATACCTGCTCTGCAGGATCCACCCTGCAAACTGCTCGCCCGTGGTCCAGGACTCCACCTCTGCAGAGAAGCTTTCCTCTGGCGGGTGGGGGGATAGAGGGACAGTGAGGGACAGAGGGCTCCGGCCTGACAGTAAGTGGCTACTGTCCCCACACTGGGCAGGCAGGGAGACATGAGGGTCACAGGGCAAGTCAGTGGGATGGCTAAGGCAGGAGGAGATCAGGGAGCCAGGCCAGGCCTAGCACCACTGGCTGAGGGAGGCAGGCCTCACCATTGAATGTGAACACATCCAGGGCCATTCGGCCCCGCCGCAACCCAGCCTTCCACTCGAGCTTCGTGGGTGGGTGGGCCCTTGAGGCCATGGGAGCCAGTTGCGTCTGCTCCAGGGCATGCAACAGCTTATGCTGGCACAATGCAGCCATGCCCCAGGGGGCCTGGTCAGACACAAATCTGTGGGACAACAGGAAAGCGGCTGCAGGCTTGGTGGGGTAGGTGGGGGCCACTCACAGGGTCCTACCCACTGGGCTTCTTACTTGAGCAGTGGCTTCTGCAGGGCAGGCGTAGGGGGGAAGGAGCTGAGAAGGACTGCCATCAGGGCCCAGCCACGCTGGGTCTGCTGCTCATCTGGGTTGTGCCACAGCTGGGCCACTAACTGGCTGAAGAGCTCGTCCCGAAGTCCCGGCCGCTGCTGCGCCTGCCGCACCAGGAACGTGCCCATGGTCTGCTCCTGCCAGGGCTGCAGGGACCCTTCCCCCAGGAGCCGCAGCAGCTGTTGACACAAAAGCCAGGGCAGAAAGCACGGGGCTCCCCTGCACCTCCCTAGTCCTCACAGTGGCCACCCTGTCCCTCCTCAGTGCATCACTCACCACCCTGTTGATCTCCAGAGCCTGCTGAGGGTTCTCACCATCCAGCCGGGTCAGGGGCTCATCCAGCAGCTGCCCGGGTCTAGGCAGAAATGGCTTCTGCAGGGAAGGAAGACGACATAGTTTTTGTCCTCTGAGTTGACCAAAGAAGCCACTCCTCAAGAGGCCCTCAGGAGCACGTACCCTGAGAGAGAAGACTTGAGCCTATGTGTACACACATGTGTGTTACATGGACATGCATGTACAAGTATGCACCAGAGGAGGTCATCAGGCACCTTCCTGTTTGCCTTGACATAGGGTCTGTCACAGAACTGCAAAATCTCACCATTTTGCATAGGCTGGCTGGCCAGCAAATTCCAGAGATCCACCTGCATCTGGCCCGTAGTACTGGGGTAAAAAATATGCACGGTCATGCCTGCCTTTTTACATAGGTGCTAGACATTTGAACTCATGTCCTCAGGAAGCACTTGCCCAATGAGGATCTCCCCACCCTTTAGTTACTCTCTCATTAGAAAATTGACCCTAAGCCAGCTGCGGTGCCCCACGCCTTCAATTTCGGCACTTGGGAAAGGCAGAGGCAGGCTGCTGCGGAGTTCCAGGCCAGCCAGGACTACCAAAGTAAGAACCCTGCCTTTAATTTTTTTTTTTTTTAATTAAAATAGAGCTAGGTGTGGAGGCAGAACTCAGGAGGCAGAGGCAGGCGGATCTCTGAGTTTGAGCCCAGCCTGGTCTACATAGTGAGTTTCGGGACAACAGGGCTACAAAATAGTGAGACCCTGTCTCAATCAGTAAGTAAGTAAATAAATAAATAAATTTGTAATTAAACTAATACAGGGATCATGTGGTTATGACTCCTGCTTTTGTATTTAATCCTCTGGCCTGAAAGGTTCCCTCGTTAAACCTTCTTTAAGGACACAGCTTTAACGCAGGACAATACCACAGGAACAATAAAGGCGTGGCCAGCATAAACCTGTGTGTCACAGACTTCTGTGTAAGTGTTTTCCCAGTACAGGGAGGCAGGGAGAAGGTGGGGGCCTGCTTCTGCATGGCAGGTGTTACACTGGCAGGTGTTACACAGGGTCCCAGTGCTGGACCCTGAAGGGCCTCACCTGGAAGCTGGCAGCCACAAAGCTGGAGAAGGGAAACTGGTCAATGTCTGGAGGGAGGGTCAGGCTGGGCCGGGCAGGAACCTCAGGTGGCAGGGACTCTGTGATGCTCTCAGCCAGGGTGGCTTGGTGGCCTGGGAAGGAGCACAAGAGTGGCCTGGGACACTCAAGAATCCCATTTTTCCCGTCAGGTGCCACCCACCATGGACAGCATGCCCTGGCTCAGGGAAAGAGGCAGCAGAGTAAGCACGGCTCCCCACAGACAAAGCTGACTCACCTGCTGCTGCCTCCAGCACAGCAGCCAGCTGGGCTGGGATCTCCAATCGTCCCAGGTCCTGGTGGAGAGAGCCAATTATCAAGAAGTAAAGGATAGCTGAGAAGGACGGGGTGCACCCCTCTCCCCAGATCTCCAGAATAACAAACATCCCTAAAGTACAAGGATGCACCCTGGAAACAAATGACCAGGTCTCCAGAGCCTCTGAGAAAAACCAAGAGCGTCCCCAGCCTTCTGCTCAGCTGGTACATGAGGGGCAGGACCCCTGATGGCACCCTACACATCAAACCCTCCCCCACACTGTGCCAGGCTCAGTGTTCACGTGCCACACAGGACCCCTGCTTCCAGATCACTCACCATCCTTGACACTCTCCCCCAGGCCTCCCAGCTGTGAGGGCTACGGGAATGCTGTGGGAGAGAGATCCAGTAAAGTTGATGCCCCGACACCAGCAGCCCAGCCCCAGTGTCGGCAACTCAGTGTCTTCATCACCACCCCTGGTCCCTGACCCCGGGAGACGGTGATGATAGAAAAGGAATGACAAAGAACCAAAGGGGTACAACTGTCTGACCTCACCCACCCTTACCCCTCTCCAAGTCCACCGTCCCCAGGCCTGTCACTGCCTGTCTGTGAGGGCACCAGGAAGAGGTAAGGAAGAAGGGAGTAAATGGTCCCAGAGGACAAAGTCCAACTTGGGAGGAGCCAGGAAGGGGAGGAAAGAATGTGGGCATTGACCTTTGAGTGGCTTTATGGCCCTCCAATTGGAGTCATCAGGAAAGAGGGGGAGCAGAAGGAGGGCCACGGGGGCATGGAGGGAACAAAAAGAAGTAAAAAAGGGGAGGCAAGGCTGGGGGGGGGGGGGGGGGGGGGTGAGCAAGATGAAGTAAGACAACAGCCATCAGCGCCCAGCCTGCCCCAGACAGAAGAGGAAATGGAGGTTGTGGACTCTGATGTTTCAGTCCTGGCAAGTTCAGGCTGTCAGCATTCTGGCCACTTGGCCAGCCAAGCTTTCCTGGCTTCTATCCTGAGCTTCCCCGCAATCCAGAAGCCCCCACCCCAAACCCTCTCACCTGCAGCCTCTTTCGTCTCTGGAGCAGTGGCCGAGCCACGAGGAGAATGGTGTTCAGCTGCCCCAGAGCTGACCTCCGCCGGAGGTATCGCTTCCTGGAGGCCACAAGAGTAATCAGGAGGAGTGTGGGGCCTCGAAACTTATACTTCTTTCCTGGTACCTGAACCCTCTCTAAACCTAGACATGAATGTAAAAATGGACTCTGGATCGGTGAATGCCCCCGAAGTGTAACAGAAGCAACAGTAAAGAACAGGATGCTATGGTAAACCAGGAAATGTTTTGTTCTCAGACGGCTTTGCTATGTAGACCAGGCTGGCCTTCAACCTGCCTCTGCTTCCTGTGAGTGCTGTGACTATAGACGTGTGCTACCACTTACAGCTTTCAAGGTTTCCATTTTTAATTATACGTGTGTGTGTGTGTGTGTGTGTGTGTGTGTGTGTGTGTGTGTGTGCGTGCGCACGCAGGAGTCACAGGTAGCCAGAAGAGGGCGTCAGATCCTCAGAGTTAAAGTTATAGGCAGTTGAGACACTTGACCTAGGTGCTAAGAACTGGACTCTGGTCCTTCGTAAGAGCATGCTCTTAACCACTGAGCCATGTCTCCAGACCCTAGGTTTATTTTTAAATACTTACCCTGCTCAGGAGCCCTTTTTTGAGGAGCCTGGTTTTCTCATAGCCAGGAAATTCTCAAAGGTATTCTATTTACATAGCCCTCTTCTGGCCTCCACGGGCACCAGGCATACATGTGATACAAAGACATACATGCAAAGCACTCATACACATACAATAAATAAATAAAAATAAGAAGTCTAGAGGCCAAGAAGATGACTTAGTTGGCAAAGTGCTTGCTGCACAAAGATAAGGAGCTGAGTTCTAGTCCTCAGCACCCACACATAGAAGCCAGACAAGGCAGCACCAGTTCTGAGGAGATAGATGCTTGGAGCTCACTGGCTACCCAGTCTAGCTGAATCAGCAAGTCTAGGTTCAGTCTTAAAAAAAGAAAGAAAAGGAAAAGAAAGAGAAAAAAAGACGAAAGGAAGGAAGGAAGGAAGGAAGGAAGGAAGGAAGGAAGGAAGGAAGGAAGGAAGAAAAGCATAGCATCACAGTCATGTCTTTCATCCTAGCACTTGGAGGCCAAGGCAGGAGCATCTCCATGAATTCAAGGCCAACAAGGTCTACAAAGTGAGTTTATGGATAGCCAGGGCTACATAGCAAGACCCTACCTCAAATAAAGACAGACAGACAGACAGGAAGGTGGAGAACAAATGACTGGAGAAGAGACTCATTGTCAATCTCTGATCTCCACACACACAGGGACATTTCCACATTCACATGCACACATCCATGAGCGCGTGCACACTCAGACTGTATACACACAGGCACTCTGCCGTCGAGTGCCTGCAGCTCATGCGCACAGTGAGTGCGCGTACAGCTGAGTGCCTGCGGCTCGATTGCAGAGGACTTTCCTAGCGTGTTCAAGTGCCTGGGTTCGATCCCAGCACAGAAAGTCAATCCACGGATCAAACAACCCAGCAGCCTGCCCACAACTCTCATACGTCAGAGGACAGTACAGAGAAGGTAAGACAGTGCACGGAGTAGAAAACCATCAAGTCACAGAGGTAGGTGGCCCAATATCCAGAAAACATGAGAACTCTTGAGCAGCTTAAGGACAGCGACGGGAGGGGCACGGGGGTGACTGGGTGGCTAAGAGAACCTACTGTTTTTGTAGAGGACCCACCCGGGGTTCAGTTTCTAGCACCCACATAATGGCTCACAACTCTCCATAACCCCAATGCCAGGGAAGCGGATGCCACTCTCAAACTGTGGGCACCAGGCACGCTCAGACACACAAAATAAGATAAGCAGTGGGAGAGCTGGGTGTGGCGGATGTCCGTAATGTCAGTGCTCAGGAGGCTGAGACAGGAGGATGGTGGCTACACAGCAAGACCCTGTCTCAATAGCAACCGAACAAGAGCCTAGAGAACACTTGCTGCCCTTACATAGGACCTGGGTTCCCAGAACTCACATGGCGCCCCACAACTATCTGTGACTCCAGTTCCAGGGGGTTTGATACCTTCTTCTGTCCTCCGAGAACATTTCATGCACATGCCACACAAACATGCAGCAAAAACACATAAAACAAAACACTTTTTTTTTTCAAAATGCCAGTGCAACAAGAGGCTGTGGTCTAGAACAGACATCTCCACAAATGGGTGGGAAGCACATGAAAACATGCCCAGCATCGCCAGTCATTAGAGAAAACAAGTCACAAGCATCATGAACCAGGCCTAGAGAGCTGCATCCTTTAATCCCAGCACTCAAGAGGCACAGGCAGGTGGATCTGTGAGTTTGAAGCCAGCCTGGTGTACATACTGAGGTTCCAGGCAAATGGAAGTTACATAATGAAACTATCTCGAGAAGCAAAACAAAACCAGGAATAAGTGTCAGCAAGGATGTGCGGAACCATTCACATCGTCAGGTGGAATACAAACAGATATGAACACCGCGAGAGCCAGTGGGGCAGATCCTCAGAGCTGCATGGAGAATGGCTACGTGACCTGGCAGTTCTCAAACAGGTACAGACCCAACAGCTAAAACCAGAGAGCAGGATGGATACGTCTAACAGCCGCGTTCGTAATGGGAGTAACAGGCTGTGAATCTGAATGGTGGAACCACAAGGTGATGAGGTTCTCATCCACGCTACAACACAGGCTCACTCTGAAAACACTGAAAGCTAAGTAAATTAGGCCGGGCATAAAGGGAGCGGGAGCAGAAGATGGCTTATAGGAAATACTCAGAATAGGTGAGTCCACAGACTGAAAACACACCGGGTGTGTGTGGGTGGTGGCGTGGGGAGCAGGGACCTGCTGCTTCCTGGGCGCCGTGCCTCAGTTTATGTGGTGAAAGAGTGTTGGGCATGGATTGTAGTGCTGGACAGTGGTGGCGCACCCAGCACTCAGGGAGGCAGAGGCAGTGGATCTCTGTGAGTTTGAGGCCAGCCTGGTCTACAAAGAATTCCAGGACAGCCAGGGCTATACAGAGAAACCCCAGCTCAAAAAAACAAACCAAACCAACAAATAAAAGATGGTAGCAATGGTTGCCTGTGATGGTGTTCCTTGCCCTGACACTGTCTTCATTTCATTCTCAGCCCTCAAGTCAGCCTTGGGTCGAAGACGCCTTTACCCTGTGAACCTGACTCCCCCCCCTGTGGCTAGCCCAGGAGGCCTCATCTCTGCTGCTTTGGTTCCTGTGCCTCTAGCACCTGGCCAGAGTGGACAGAGCGGCTGCTGGGTGAATAAAGTAGAATGCCAGGTAGGGTGGTAGGTGGATACAATCCCAGATCTGGAAGGCTGAGGCAGGAGGATCAGGAGTTAGAACACATCCTGGGCTCTACAGCAAGGCGATCTCAGGGAAACGAAGCACAGTGGAGAACAGAGCAGAAAAAACCAGTCAAGACTAGAAAGACAGTCCAGAGGCCAGATTCCAGATTCAACAGCAAGGAGCCTCCTACCCTGGGAGGGTGTTCAAGCAGGCTGCCCCGGTTGCTGGCAGAGTCCAGGATCGAAGGGATGACTCGGGGACACTCTGGGACAGGTCAACTTGCCCCCAAGACCCACATCATCCCAACTCTGCCCACCACCTTGAGAGGTTGTCCCCCAGCCTCCCCCACCCTCACCCCTCTTTGTTCCTGGACTCCTGTGCCTGCTCACCTGGCCTGGAGTCCACGCACACGAGCCTGCATCCGGGGCAGGAAATGGAGGCGCTGGTGCGTGATGCAGGCTCTGAGGCCACGGTGGAGAGTGAGCAGGGCCTGCGAGCGCCACTGAGCCCACAGCAGTTCTAGCTGCTGCCAGCCCTGCTCCTGCAGTAGGACCTGTGGGCAGAGGCATGTTACGTGTGTTGGGGGTAGAGTTGGGGGTGGGGGTGGGGAATGGGGGAAGCAGACAGGGGCATGCCTGCTCTGGCCTCAGCCTTCCCACATCTGGTCACACAACGTAACCGTAACCGGGGTAGCCTGCTAGCCAACCCTCTCCATCCATCTGCCCCCCACTGAGAATGGCCACCCGATGGAGTTTGCTCATGCTTAGCCCAGCAGGGGCCTTTTCACTTCCTGCAGGTCCATCCTGCCTGCATGTGTATGCTCACCTGGGTGGTTCCCAGATGATAGAGTGGTGACTCTGCCCCCAGCACTTGGCTGAGGATGTCACCACACCTCTCCTGCTCAGAGACAGCTTTCTGTCTCCCTGACCCCAGGGCTCGGAACCTGTCCCAAACGAACAGAGATGAGGTCGGTAGAGCAAGAACCTTTTAGACACTTGATTCACAGCTGACCCCATTGATCAATCAACAGCTTGGGAAGCCCTGTGTCCTAGTTTGCTGTGGTAGAACACCCCAACAGAAAGCAAGAGAGAAGGGGTTTACATGGCGCACAGTTCTGGTTACAGTCACCGGCGCTGGGAATCAGGGCAGGAACTTGAAGCATCTAATCGCATCCTACCAGTCAAGAGCACAGATGAATGCTTGCACTCAGAAGCCTGTCTGCCCTTACGCAGGTCAGGACTCCCTGCCTAGGGTAGGCCCTGCTGCAATGGGCTAGGTCTCCCTCCCTCGATTAGCAATCAAGAGTCTTCCACAGGCCCTTTCCACCCGACAATCTCTCATTAAGACTGTCTTCCAGCTGTGGGTGGCAGCGCACACACCTTTAATTAATCCCAGCCGAGCCAGGTGGATCTCTGAGTTCGAGGCCGGCCTGGTCTACACAGTGAGCTCCAGGACAGCCAGGGCTCCACACAGAGCCGAGAGATGTCTCACGCTGGTTAGGAGCACTTGCTGCCCTCGGAGAGGACCAGGTTCAGTTCCCAGCACCCATGGCAGCCAGTTTGCGATTGCCTCTAACTCTCAGTTCAGAGGATCTGACTCCCTGTTCCGGCCTGTGCAAGCAACACAGTGCGCATGTAACTCTCTCTCTCTCTCACACACACAAACACACACACACACACACATACACACACACACACTCTCTCTCTCTCCCTCTCTCTCTCTCTCTCTCTCTCTCTCTCTCACACACACACACACACACACACAAAACAAAACTCTCTTCTCAGGTGATCCTAGGTTGTGTCACCCTGACAGTAAAACCAGCACAGAGGCAGTGTGCTGCTCTGGGCGGAGAAGCGGGCAGGAGAGACCTCTGCTCAAGAGAAGAAAGAGGTTGTCAAACAGAAAAGATGTTGTCACAAGGCTAGGCAAGGCTAGAGGAGCAACAGGAGGTGACCCTGTGGCTTCCGGGGTGCCTGACACACAGTGGGTCTCAACATGTGATTCGGAGGGCGGGGCAGAACCTCGCAGCAGCTCAATAGACGGCCAATTCGGGGATGACCATTTACTCCTCCTTCCCCTTAGCAGGGCTCAGAGCTTCCTGGAAGAGGTGACAGCCACTGACTTGGTAAGTGTCCCAGGGCAGGGACAGAACCTTCTCACCTGTCACTCTCAAGGACAGGCACCCATGACTCATCTACTGCCTGCTTCAGGCTCCACCCCTCAGCCAGCCTGTCCCCAGGCTAGGACGGCCACAGGCAGAGAGTGGCTAGAGCCCTGGGGTGCAGCCTTAGAGGGTGGCTGAGAGAGAGAGAGAGAGAGAGAGAGAGAGAGAGAGAGAGAGGGAGAGAGAGAGAGAGAGAGGCGGGTCCAAGCCAAGGCCAAATAGACAACACAACCAGTCACCAACTTTCCTAGCTGCTTCTCTACTCTCCCTCAAAAGCTGCCACACCCTCACTGTCCTCCCTGCATGACCCGCCTGCTCCCCGTGGCTGGCCCTGCACCTGCCATACCCTTTCAGTCTGAAGGGCTTTGCTAACCATGCTCCCTCATCTCACTGACTCGGTCATGACTTCATGACTTTGCTGTGCCCAGTTGGCTGCATAGAAAGGGCCCAGGGTAGGCAGGGTCCCAGTCATCTCCAGTATGGCATCAGCACTGACAAGATGAGGTAAACAGGAAAGGAGTGTATGTGAGTGTGTGAGTGTGTGTCTGTGTCTGTGTGTAAGGAATGGGGAAGGGAAGAGTGTTAGAAGTCAGGCACATGGTCCCTTCTCTAGCTGCCTACCTGGTGTATCCCCCTCAGCTATTGGCCTCAGGTTTTGGGCCCTCAGCTACCTCACCACAGACCCCTACCTTTCCAAGAAGACTTGGAAGGGCACTCGAACAGGGAGGTGGGTACTTCGGGTGCCGATGACCTCCAGGATGCCAGCCTGGTGCAGCTGCTCTGCCACGTGTCCCACATCAAAGAGGCCTGGGAGCTGGGAAGTGAGACACAGCTGAGGAGAGCTGGTGTGAGGAGAGCAAGGCTGAGAGGAGGGGGTCTCAGAGGAGGGGAGCGGCTGAGAAGGGCAGGGGTGAGGTTGGGGAAAGGGAGCTCACCTTTCCAGGGGTGGGGTTGAGGCAGTGGATGACATAGACATGGCTCCTGCTGAGTGGAGGGGGCACAGTCAGAGACCAGGCCACTCTCCATGCAACTCGCTGGGGTCCAGTTCTCACCTGCCTAGCCGGGCCAGCAGGTCCCCCAGGGACTGCTGGAATCGAGAGGCCAGCGTGGGTTTGCTTTGCTCAGTCCCGGCCTGGGGCTCCGCTTCCTGGAACAGGCTGCCCACGAGCTGTGGGGTGAAATGAGTCTTGGGTGTTTCCATCCTGGGCCCTTCCACCCATCACATAGTTTCCGGGGAGCCAGGGCAGGCAGCCCTCAACACTAGACCCCTGCACGCTCCTTCTTCCATCCAGGTTGTCAAGCCCCAGCCCCACAAGGCTTGATGGGGGATAAGCTATGTGGACCTGAAAAGAGCGCATGGTCACCTGCAGCTGGCTCTGCGCAAGCGCCTGCAGCATGGCCGAGTCCAGGTGCTCCCTGTTTCTGTTTATAAACTTGTGCACCTGCAAGAGAGGAGGCAGGTGAAACAGCCCTGCAAGAAGCTGGGTGTGCGGGCTAGAGAGATGGCGCAGAAGTTAAGGGAAGCAACCACATGGTGGCGCACAACCATCTATAATGAGATCTGGTGCCCTCTTCTGGTGGACAGGCACACATGCAGGCAGAATACTGTACACATAATAAATAAATAAATCTTAAAAAAAAAAAAAAGGTGTGCAACACCACCTTCTGGCCATCTTTTTGTTTTTAATAAAAACCCAGTCTCAGGGACAGGCTGTAGCTCAGCTGGATGAGCCCTTGCCTAACATACCGAGCCCCAGGTTCTGAGTTCCAGCGTTGCCCTAACTAGGCATGTGTTGCCCACCTGTAACCCCAGCACTTGGGGACTGAAAGCAGAAGGATCAGAAGCTCATCCCTGGCTACAAAGACAGTTAAAGGCCAGATGAGGCAATATGAGACCCTGTCTCAAAAAAAAACAAAACAAGGGCCAGAGGAGGTGGTTCATGCCTTTAATTCCAGCCTTTGGGAGACAGGTCCAGCCCACTGCGAACAGTGTCTGTACTGCATAAGCTAGATGAACTGGGTGTGACTGCACACATCCTTCACCCAGCGTTCAGGAGGCAGAGGCAGGTGAATTTCTGTGAGTCCAGGGCCAGCCTGGTCTATGTAGTAAGACCTGGTCTCAAAAACAAACAAAACCAACAACTATAAAACATCAAGACATTAAAAACGACAATTAAAACCTCAAGACATTATAAAAAGAGCACTGGCTGCTCTTTCGGAGGATCTGGCTTTGACTCCCAGCACCCACATAGCAGCTCACAACCAATTGTAAGCCCAGCCCAAGAGGATCTGATGCCCCCTTTGACTTCTGAGGGTACCGGGCACACTGATGAGACACAAACACATGCAGGCTAATCACTCATACATGAAGTAAGAAATTTAAACGTCAGGGGGCAATGTCAAGGGAATAGGAGAGATGGCTCAGTGGCTAAGGGAGCAAGCTGTGTAATAAGCTGCCACTGAGCGTGAGGAGCCAAGTTCAACCCCAGGCATTCACACCAACTTCCAGAAGTTGTCCTCTGACCTCCACGTGTGAGCTTTAGCGCACACACCCTCCCACATAGACAGTAATTAAAAACAAATGTAAAAAACAAAATCCAGCACGAATGGGAGAGGCTCACTAGGCCCCACCTCTACTTGAGGACCTATGAAGAATAATTAATGCTGGGAACTGGGTGTGGCCCGAGGCTCAGCTGTCTTGGAGGGGATCTCCAGGACATTGCCACCTGCTAGGTGACTCAGCTTGGGAGGGGCAGCCACACGGTGACTCGGCTTACTGATTCACCCTGGAGTCTGTGCCCGGGAACAGATACCTGGTAGGTGACGGTCCCGGCATAGTGCTGCACCGTGAAGATAGGCAGGGGCAGCTGAGGCTTGGCGTAGCTGGGGTTGTCACCATGGTGATAGTGGCATTTCTGGAGGAAAGTGTGGTCCGTGGCCTGGAAAGGAAAGAGCTGCACACTGCTCAGGCTCTGTACGGGCTTGCTGGTCCCCACCTGGACACAAATGTCAAGACCATTCCAGACAGACCCTACAACTTCAGCTGCTCAACTTGGTGGCACACGCCTTTAGTACCAGCACTCAGGGAGGCAGAGGCAGGCAGATCTCTGTGAGTTCAAGGCCAGCCTGGCCTACAACAAAAGTCCAGGACAGCCAAGTCTACACAGAAAAGCCCTATCTCAAAAAACAAAAAAAGGTTAACAAATTATTACAAGTTACTTTATATAACCTAAGGGCTGGCAAGATGGCCCAGTGGTAGACAGCGCTGGCTGCTCTGCCCCAGGACCTGGGTTCAATTCCCAGCCCTTACATGGATGGTGGCTCCGCAGTTGTAACTCCAGTCCCAGGGGACCCGATGCCCTTTTCTGGCCTCTTCAGGACCAAGTACAAACACCCACACACATAAAACAGATTAAAAAAAAAAGTGATCCTGGGACTTCAGAAACACCTGTGATAAGGTTTCCATTGTCTTGTTTGTTTTGGGGACAGTTCCTTATGTAGACCAGGCTGGCTCTGAATTCACATCAATCTACCTGCCTCTGCCTCCAGGATGCTGGGGATTGGAGGTTGGATTAAAGATGTGCGCCCCTATGACTGGCTGTTTTGCTTTGTTTGAAATAGTCTCGCATGGGCCGGGCTAGTCTCCAGCTCACCTTGCAGCTGAGAAGGACCTGCTTGGGAGTGCTGGGATCCCAGGGAGAGCTTTGTCACATCCTTCTCAGAGGAGGAGTGGGCAATGTCTGCATCCTCTCCTAACGTCCAGTGAAAAACCAAGGTTCGAGTCCACCAAAGTTCACTCCGAGGAGTCGGCTCACTTAGAGCGCTCAGGTGAGGGGTCACTTACCAGGGTGTGTGTGCTCCTCCCCAGAAAATCTTACAGTAGGACGATGACTTCCTATAGCTGCATAGATAAAGCCCTCTCCCTAGTCTTCCCTGGCATTTATACTAGCCTTTCCCGAGGCCACATGCACACAACAGGTGTTAGGTAAGGCAAGGCTGGACACTGGTGAGGTCTCCTGACCCTTCCCGACCCCTCTGTGAGGGAATGTAAACAGAATGTAAACAGTCCACCTGAGATGAGGCACAGCCACACTCCCCAACACGGTGGTTGCTTGCCTCAGATTGTTCTGTAAAAAAGCACCACCTCACCCGACACGCCGGGGATTGAACCCAGAGCTCTGTGGCTGCTAGGCAAGCCCTCCTCCAACTGAGCCATAGTGTCACCCCAGCGTCACTTTATGTTTGGTGTCTGCTCTCCAGCCTCCGTTCCCTAAGGTCTGGGTCCTACACATGTTCCTGTGACTCCACAAAGCTGCCTGCCCAGCCATACATCTGGGATTCTTATGCATTTATTGTGGGGAACAGAGTCTCATAGGCCAGATTAGCCTGGAATGTACTGCCTAGCTCAGCCTGGCTTTTCTCTCTTTCTCTTTTAATTACATCAGGCTGTGCTGGCTTCAAACTTGCATTCCTCCTGCTTCCGTCTTGCGTCTTGTGAGAGCTGATAGACAGGTGCTCATCACCACTTCAGGTCAGGTGGACTTTATGTTGTTTTTCTTCATCTTTCTTTCTCTCTCTCTTTCTTTTCAGTTTTTTTTTTGTTGTTGTTGTTGTTTGTTTGTTTGTTTGTTTGTTTGTTTGTTTGTTTTAGACAGGGTTTCTCTGAGTAGCTCTGGCTGCTGTCCTAGAACTTACTTTGTAGACCAGGTTGGCCTGGAGCTCACAGAGATCCCCCTACTATAGGATTAAAGGCAGCACTCACTACCCAACTTGAATCCATTACTTTACACACAGCAGGCAAAACTCTACCACTGAACTATACATGCCCCATATCCCAGGCTCCCTCCCTTTTCTTTCTCTCTTTCTTTCTTTTTCTTTTTGGTTCTTTTTTGTTGGTTGTTGTTTGAGACAGGGTTTCTCTGTGTAGTCTTGGCTGTCCTAGACTCCATTTGTAGACTATGCTCGCCTATCTGCCTCTGCCTCTTCAGTGCTGGGATTAAAGGCATGCTGGCCTGGCCTCTCCAGCTCTCAACATTTCTTTCCCCTTCTCTTGGGCTCCAGGAAGGGAAGAAATCAGTCTTTTGTCTCTGACCTTTTCCCTTAGTCTGGTCCCTACACACTGATCCATCCTGTCTTCCCTCAATGCTGGTGTACCACAGGTAGAATTGGAGTCCTTCAGACAGGCCCAGCCGACCTGCAGCTCAGTCTAGTAGAGGACAGAAATAAATCACTCTGGCTGCACTTGACATTCAGGACTGTCTGCTCTCTCCAGAAGTTCAAATATAAGCAGGCAGAGGCGGACATGCGCCAGGAAGTGCTTATACATGGCAGCCAGTTACTAACCAGGAAGCATTTGTAGCATGCTGTTGGTGCTGCATGCCTATAATCCCAGCAGTTGGGATGTGGAGGCCTAAGGATCGGGAGTTCAAGGTGAGCCCAGACTACACACATGACTTCCTGTCTCAAAAACAAAACAAAGGGGCTGGAGAGGCGGCACTGTGGTTAAGGGCATTTGCTGCTCTTCCAGAGGACCCAGGTTCTGCTCGCAGCATCCACATAGCAGCTCACAACCACCCTAACCCCAGTTCCATGGGATCCGACACCCTCTTCTGATTTCCATGGTATCCAGCATGCACATGGTACACACATACATGCAGGAAAAACACCCAGACATAAAATTAAGTGTCTTGAGTGTACTCGGTGGGAGTCCAGGGCTCTTCCTAGACTGTGCAGGATGGCTGTGTCTCTGGACCCTATAGCCTGTTTGTCTCCCAGGAAAGGAAACCCTCTGGCTCTATCCTGGTGGCCTTAGCCATCTCCCCTTACCTACCCCCCTCCCCCCCCAATTCCTTGTCCTGACAGCTCTTACCTGGGGTAGCCGAGTCTGGGAGTCCAGGATGCTTAGGAGGCTGTGGGGCTGTCCCATCAGGAGGTCCACGCAAGACTGCCTGGGAGGCTGGGGGATGGGGACCCAGCTCAGCTGTTCACGATGGCACTCCTCCTAGGAACAAGCCCTGCTTGATAACTGACAGGTGTTGGGGCCAGGAGAACCTCAGAGCTGCAGGATCGTCCTCTTGCATATGTAAACAGAGGTTGAGAGGGACTGAGCCAGCTGGCTGTGGTGGCACACGCCTTAATCCCAGCAATGGGGAGGCAGAGGCAGTAGGATCTCTGTGAGATCGAGGCCAGCCTGGTCTACAAGAGAAACTCTGTCTCGGGAGAAAATAAAAATAAAAAAGGACTGAGCCTTTTTCACCCACCATGGAAAGGGGCTTTTGAGTAGACCTGTGAACTACTTTGGCCTCTGTACGGGGGCAGTGCCCAGCTCCCTACCTCCTCCTGGGTCAGCAGCTTCTGGCTGGAGAATTGCTGCAGGTGCTCACTGGCCAGATTGCTGCATAGCTGCTCTAAGCCATTCACCCGCAGTGCCTAGGGGGAGGGAACAAGGTGAGAGTTGGGGGCAGGTCACATGGGGCTGCTCCTCCCTCCTCCCCTGGGCTCTAGGAGGAGTGATGCCCCGCAGCCAGGAGGGATAAGGCTAAAGGACTGGGTACAATCTATAGGCCACCATGAACTTGCCTCAGCCATACATCAGTCCCCTTTAGCTCTCTCCACCCTTGCTCTGCTCCAATAGCCCTGGGCAAGAACAGTGCCTATCCAGGAAGTGGGGATGGGGGTATCGCATCCTTTTCCAAGCCCCATTATTGGTAGCCCTCCCCCACACAAGGAGGCACACTGTAGGAAAGGGGTGCACAGCTGTGACAGTTCTGGAGGATTTGAGAGGGTCTACTTTCCTCAGTATGCGGGAGGTGACAGTCCCAGCCCAGGGAGGCCATGTACGTCTATCAATACAGCCGAGCAGGACAGAACTCTCCAGAAGCAATGCCAGAACAAGACAGAATAGGGCAGGATTCTACCTGGAGACAGAGCAAGGCCTGCTAACATTTCCTACTTTCCTGGTGGGGACGCTGACCTCAGAAGGGTTAACTACCTGTATGAGGTCATATAGCCAGCAAGGCAGAAAGTTCTGTGGTTTGTGGTGGGCAGAGGGAAGCCAGCCCCAGCTGGGAAAGGCACATGCAGTGGGGTCTTCCTCCTCCCACGGACATGCGGATGGAGGTAACTGGATGGAGAGCCCCAAGATTCCCTGCCAGATGCCAAAGACCCAAGATGTGGGACCTGTTCCCTTCCACCCTGGTGCCTCCTTATCTCTTTCTAGGATGCTCAACCAAGATTCCACTGGGCTCCAGAAGGAGCCAGAAAAGGCACAGGTCAGACAGGCAAGCCTCGGGGGGAGCCGGAATGAGATGGGCACTGCCCCGCCCCCCGCCCTGACCCTCCCTGGGGGGGGGGGGTTTGACCTCAAAGCCATAGGCGTCCACAACAGTGATGGTGCTCACGCCACCTGCCTCCCTCAGTGGGGCCAGCCGCATGTTGATCTGTTTCAGAAGCCAGCCGAAGAGCCTTGCGTACAGGGTCTTGGCCAGGGCATCCCTGCAGGCACCGTGAATGAGACTTGCCCAGCAGAGCGACCAGCCTGCTCCTCAATCCCATCCCCAAGGTTACCTAGCATCGATAGCACCTTCCACTGGCAGGGATCTGGACACTGGGCCGTAAGGAGTGTCCTGGAGATCAGAGAAATGCTCCAAGTGTTGGGCCCGTCTGTACTCAGAGGCGCTCCAGGTTGTCCCCTGCACCTTCCCGGCACCCTCAGGGCTCACCATGACCTTCTTGGTGACGGCCCCCTCTAGGCGCTCCGGTGGCACCTGCAGCAGCCGTGCTGCCAAGTGGATTTCAGCCCAGCTGGACACAGCAGCCACCTCTTGGGACTCCCGCTGGACAGAGGCAGGACAGAAGAAAGAGCTCTTTGCTTGTGCGATGGCTATATTCCCCGGGCAGGGCCAGGCAGGGCCTTGCTTTAACTAGCCGCTGCCCACTACTCAAAGGGCCGATAGCAGCCAGCTGTGGTGGTGCACACTTTGAATCCCAGCACTTGGGAAGCAGAGGCAGGTGGATCTCTGTGAGACTGAGGCCAGCCAGGGCTACACAGTAAAACTCTGTCTCTAAATAACTAAAGGGAGGGCTCAGGGCATATGTAGTGCTCTGGACTGCGGCTGAGCCAGGCTCCAGGGCTGAAGGTCATGGGTGTGAGTTCTAACTGTCTCTTCTTAGTAGCTAGGCAGTTCTAGCCATCCCTCTCTCTGCCCCTCTGCTGCTTACTGCTGAAGGGAAAACCTCTTAGGGCACAGTGTTGCCATAAGAATTAAGTTTCTTATAAAAAGTGTTACGGGTTCTCCCCAGTTCTCATCAGGCAGCGGCTTCTTGGTTAAGTCCTGGTGCTCTTCTTAAGGGCAACAGCTGAGTACAAAGGGCACCAGGAGGGGTGCAAGAAGGGCAGGGCCATGGTTCACTTTTCTTTGATTCTTTTGTTGTTGTTTAAGACAGGGTTTCTCTGTGTAGCCCTGGCTATTCTGGAACTCGCTCTGTAGAAAAGGCTGGCCTCAAACTCCGAGATCCACCTGCCTCTGCCTCAGGAATACTGAAATTAAAGGTCTGCTGGACCACCATCAGGTGGGCTCACTGTCCTGATCTGTGCAGATCTGACTGCTTTCAGAGGCGTGCCAGGGCTTTGCGGTTTCCACACACACTGGCTTGGCGTCATCATTGCCCCGACTGTGCAAACCACCCATGCAGCGTGCTCAGTAGCCCTGCCCACAGGGGAGCCCACCTCTGAAGAAGAGAAGCAGATGTTGCCCAGATGCAGGATGGTGGCCAGCACAGCCCAGACTGCAGCCAGCTCCTCTGCACACAAGTCCAGCGTCCGCAGGGCCTTCACCAGCCCTTTGAAGTCCTGGGCATCGTCCTTGCTGTGCAGCCTGCAGGCTCGGCCCTGCAGAGTACAGTGGGGCTTACAGGGGGGCGGCACCCGGCATCCCACAGCGTCCTGAAAACCGTGGCTGGGTCTGGGCACACCATCCATGAGAGCCTCGCGCCTACCTGGTTGAGGTAGTAGTAGGCCTCCGGTCCTTGCAGGGAGAGCTGCTCACGTTCCGTGGGCTCCAACCCGGCCAGCAGCTCATAAAAAACATGGAAGCTTCGCTCAGCCTGGGCCTTGGGTGGAGAAACTGGCTTGGCAGAGGAGCAGGGTTTGAGGGCCATGGCCCCTCCTCCTTCCCACTTTCAGAGCTGGGGAGGGGTGGGCAGGAGGCTCGTTCCTACCTGAAACACTACTCTGGAGGTCTCAAGCAGATAGTGGGACACAGAGGCTCCTGCAATGACCCCCCTATGGGTAAAAGAGACAGGGTGGGCATGCCCAGGGGCACGCTTCAGAAGGGGCAACCCAGGGGCTGAGGCCAAAAGCGGTATTCCTGCTCCCAGGAAGAGTAAGGTTTCACAGGCGTCATTGTGCCCACTGGACCCCATCACTCACTGCTGCAGGCAGAGGCGTAACTCCTGGCCAAAGCGGCTGGCATTGGCATTAAGGATGGTCTTGGCATGGCCAAAGCTGCTGAGTATAGGCAGCATGTCCTCTAGCTGTGTGAGGGTTTGGAACACTCATGAATACCTAGGATGGCTGCAGCACCCACCACCCATTGAGGGTTCTTCTCTCTACCATGGGCTGTGTGGACACTCATGGAGTAGGTCCTATCAGAACCTCCTACACCCCCCCCCCAATTTTTTTTGATTTGCAGAGTGCTCATATAACATTCCCGAGGCTCTGGGTTCAATCCACACGAAACTGGGCACGATGGCATACACCATTATCCTAATCTTATCCCTCAAGAGAGTGTAGGTGAAAGAACCAGAAGTTCAAGGTGATTCTCAGCTACACAGGAAGTTCTATGTCATCCTGGGCTACACCAGATCCTTTTTTTTTTTTTTTTTTTTAAGAGTTATTTATGTATACACTGTTCTCCCTGCATGTACACTTGCAGGCCAGAGAAGGGCACCAGATCTCATTATAGATGGTTATGAGCCACCATGTGGCTGCTGGGAATTGAACTCAGCCAGTGCTCTTAACCTCTGAGCCATCTCTCCAGACCCTATTTTAAAACAAAATAAAAATAAAAAGAGCCAGGCATGGTGACGCATGTCTTTAATCCCAGGACTCCGGAGGTAGCGGCAGGTGGATCTCTGAGTTTGAAGCCAGCCCGGTCTACAGAGTGAGTTCCAGGACAAACAGGGCTACACAGAGAAACCCTGTCAAAAACAACAACAAACCACCACCACCACGAAAAACCCAATAAATAAAACAGAAAGGCCTAACCCCACACCCTTGCATCAGGGAAACCTTGGGGGCCACAGAGAAGACACAGGCTTGGGGAACTGGCCTGAGAAAAGTTGCCTCCAGCCAGACCTCACCTGAGCCCGGTTGGCCTCTGTCTCCTCCTGTCTCATGCTGCTTAGAAGCTCCACAATCTTCTTGGCAGCCTCTGTCTTCCCTGAGCCACTGTGCCCCCTGCAGGAGGGAGGGGCTGGGGCGGGAGGGCTCAAGCAGGACTGCCCCACTGAGCCCAGGCAGTTGGGGATGTTCCATAGGGAAGTGATTCCTACACTCTACAGAGACTAGACCTGGCTCGTGGAGACCGGCCAGAAAGAAGTGCTGTGCAGGGGCACTCAGGACGGCCTCAGGACAGTCCAGAGGATGTCTTCCTGAACTGCTGCCCATCAGGGCACGGGACCAATAGTTAGGCTGGCCTGTGGGTTCAGGCATGCAAGGCAGCCAAGACTCACCCCAGGAGGATGCAGGAGTCCTGTCCAGAGCCCTGACACAGGTTATAGGCTGCTGCCCCGATGGCAAAGATGTGTCTGGGATGGGGAGGAGGACAACAAGGGCATGAGATGGTGCCAGAGATGGTTGTCTGGGCCTTCCAGGAATAAGTGATGTGCCCACAGGCCCTGGCACTCACTCAGCAAGACATACATGCAGGGGGTAATGCACAGAGCCAAGGAGCAGTCACGTACGCTGTGGTGTTTGGGGCCTTCCGGGAATGGTAGCTGGCCAAGACCTCTGGTGAGAAGAGAGGCAAGGGCTGGTGGGGGTTCAGAGCAAGGAGGAGGGGTCCCCCGAAAGTCTGGTAAGGAAAACAGAGACTCTCGTGAGGAGGGGCAGGGAGGCTCTGATGCACCCCAGATCATTCTCTCATCACGCCTTGTGGGGACCCAGTTAGAGCTGACTTTACACCCAGTCTAGGCGTGAAGAGAAGCCTCAGGGTTGCCAGGGAGCTCCCCGCCCGAGAAGGAAAGGGAATCTGGCCCACATCCCTTCCCTTACATAGATGCGGCCCAGGTGGAACCTCTTCTTGAGACACAGGAGCACGGAGCTGTCACACACCAGCCTGTAGGGACAGCAGGGCAGAGGGGGAGGTTGCTGGAAGGAGGTCCTAGGATAGCTCTGCCACTTACTTTAGGGAAACCCTACGCAAGCCTTCCAGTGGGGCTTCCGGTGTGGCTCTTCCGGTGCTACCCATCCCCTGGGAGTGGGCGTGGGGGGCTGGCTGGCTGGGCTGGGCAGAAAAGGAAGTTCCCTCGCCTGTCTTAGTGGCCCAGGCCTGTAATTCCAAGGACTTGACAGTCTGTGGCAAGAGTCTCACAAGTTCAGCTCCCACGTGGGCAACCTGGTGAGATTCTCTGACAAAAGGTAAAACCAGGCACGGGGCATGGGGCGGGCAGCAGGATGCCTAGGAGGGTTCAAGCACTTGCTGCAAAGCCTGACATCCCGAGCGTGAGCACCAGGAACCACAGGGCGGCAAGTCAGCTTCTGCAAGTTGTCTGACCTGTGCGAGCCTACTGACCTGTGCCGCTAAAGACCTTGCCCACCCTCCTCACTAAAAAAAAAAAAAGGGGGGGGGCGAGGCGGTCTGGGCGGTGGTGGCTGTTCAGGCATTTCATTCCAGCGCTCGGTAGGCAGAGGCAGGCGGACCTCTAAGTTCGAAGCCAGCCTGATATACAGAGCTAGTTCCAGGACAGCCGGGGCTGTTACAGAGAGAAACCATCTCAATAAATAAATAAATAAATAAATAAATAAATAAATAAATAAATAAATAAA